CACACTTTTTGCTTCCTACAAATTTCCATATGTGTTCATTCATAGTGTTGATGCCTTCAGTGAGAATCTACAATGTAAATAGTCATGAAAATAAAGAAAAACGAGAAGCTGTGTCCAAACCTTTGACTGGTATAGTGTAGTGGTAATACTACTCGTCTTTGAAACTTGAAATCAGCATTACAGACAATCCCTACTGCGAACACGCCGAAACTAACCACCCAATCTACGCCACTACAGCAGTGATCACATAGATTCTTGGCTATAAGATGAACAGCCCCAAGTAGCAGTACACTCCATGGAGAAGGAGACTAGCGGGCAAGTTAGCTCTCCCTATCGGAGGCCCTGGAATCTGCCAAGCAAAGACTCACAGCCTTGGCCAGTGGCTTAAGGAGGCATAACAGGAGATTAAACCAGGTGTACTCCACTGAACCATCCAAGGTGTACTCTCAGTGGTAGGGGAGAATAACCCCACCAAGGTTGGAGATGACACAATACTGGAAGGATGAAACCCACAACAATTCAATTCAATTTCAATATTTTTATACAGCGCCAAATCACAACAACAGTTGCCTCAAGGTGCTTTATATTGTGAGGTAGACCCTACAATAATACATACAAAACAAAAACCAACAATCATTGACCCCCGATGAGCAAGGAATTTGGCAACAGTGGGAAGGAAAAACTCCTGTTTAACAGGAAGAAACCTCCGGCAGAACCAGGCTCAGGGAGGGGCGGGCCATCTGCTGCAACCAGTTGGAGTGAAAGAAGGAAGACGGGACAAAAGGCAGGCTGTGGAAGAGAGACAGAGATTAATAACAACACAATGCTCAGTGGCAGTGGATGTAAGAGCAGACCACAGCAACCTCCCTGAACAGGACCCAGTAAGTGTCACAGCGACAGACAGCAAAGATGCTCTACAGTCTGAAGAGTTGGACAGCACCAGGCTACATCATGAGTCACACTTGCTGGCTGAAGAAGCTGACCACACTCCATGAGTCCTGATTCCCAAGGATACCACTAACAGGTTTTTTGCCTCTCTGGTGTTCTCTAAAAAATATATATTCTGATAAAGTTAATAAAGAAATACTTTTTAATCAAGCAGCAGTATCAAGAATCAAGTCAGTTAGAGTCCTGGGATAATTATCTATCCAGTTAAGTAACAAAGGGGTTTGTTAATCAGTTTCAGCTGCTTTGGTGTTAAAGATATTATTACGTTTTTAAAAAGTAAAAAACAAAAAGAAACATCCTGTCTCAGAGTGACGCTGAAAAACTAGTTTGTCTTTTTATTAATTCTCGGCTGGATGACTGTAATTCATTATTATCAGGATTAGGGCTGCACGATATTAGGAAAACCTGCGATGTGCGATAACTGTGATCAATACTGCGATAACGATAGGACTTGCGATAAAATAAATAGCAAAACAAACAAACAAAAAAGAATACATAATTTCCGTTTTACTGCAACAGTTTTATTTAAAGAAAGCTGCTGTATTAGCAGTGTAACAACAAACTGCACTTTAACATTGAAACATTGCCCCATAATAAAAAATTCTGAGGCTTGAATCCTGAAAGACATCCTTTCAGAATTCAAGCTTGCCGAACAACCATCCCTATAATTAGTTTTAAATAAACATAACTTAAATTATTCTGCAAATTATCTCAATGCAGCTGTTCATCATTTTACCTCTCACCAAGTAGTTATGATGCCAGTCAAAACTGGAGAGGAAACTTTACTGTAGTGCTGGTGTAGCTTTCAGCTTGGCTCAGTTCAAACCTGACGGTCCAGCAGCATGGTTTGTACATTTGTGGAATGGCGACATGGGAAAAGTCGCTTCGTGAGGGGATGCGGTATCTCCGGTCCACTTTATGTATCAGACTGGTGAAGCCGTCTCTGCTAACTGTAGTTATAGGCATCATGTCTTTGGCCTCTGTTATTTCTTTGTAGCGCTTCGACGTTTTCTCATAAGTTGTTCCACTTGAAAAACTCTGATACAGAGACGGCCGTTGCTGCGGCGCTCTTTGTCTAACATTAGCAACATTAGCTAGCCCGGTCTTTCTGGAACTCTTCAAACAGTTCTCTGTGGTTGTGTTGAAGATGATGGTGGAGTCGTGTTTCCTCTGGTGGTTGCCGAGTGTTCGGCAAGTGTTGCAGAGCACCTGTGTTTGGAGAACGTCGTCTTTACCAAATCCAAAGTACCTCCAAATAAGCGAGGTGCTATTTTTTTTAGCCACGAGTTCATAGTCAGTAGCGTTCTCGTCATGCGTCTCGCTCTCAGCCATTACAACTGTGACTCGTTGCTGCAGCGTTGTTCGCTCCCCACCTGCGTAGGAGGCGGGCCTCTAATCCATTTGATTGGTTAATGCCGTGAAGGGCTCTATTCGACTGGTCTAATGTGTAAAGGGGTTTCTTTGATTGGCAAATTCTTTAAAGCACGTGTGTAAACATTTTAAGGTACTCCATTATCGCAGTTTACGCTGTCTTTTGCGATGGGCCCATCGCGCAGGCTGATATCGTGATGACAATATATTTTCGATTTATTGTGCAGGCCCAATCAGGATGTCCTATAAAACTCCCGCAAAAGCCTTCAGTTGGTCCAAATTGCTGCAGCAAGGTTACTGACAGGGAGAGCATATTTTCCCACACCGACTTTTCTTCACTGATTCCCTATTGAATCCTTAGTTATACTGCAATAGGACTAGGCTAATTTGGGCTTCCCACAATTCACAATTATTTCTTTTTCACTCATACTTTTTTACTCACTATGTGGTTGCAATCTGCATTTAATCATTATTTAATATTAATCTCTGGCTCACTTCCAGTGTGTCTTTTGTCCTGTCTTCCTCCCCTCACCCAAAACAGCTGAGGCAGATAGCCGCCCCTCCCTGAGTCTAATTCTGCCGAAAGTTTCTTCCTTTTAAAATTGAGTTTTTAAGTCCCACTGCCGCCAAAGTGCTTGTTCATTAGAGGTCTTCTGATTGTTGGGACTTTCTCTGTTGTCTCTGTATTATCGTAGGGTCTTTACCTTACAACATAAAGTGCCTTGAGGCAACTGTTGTTTTTATTTGGTGCTATAAATAAAATTGAATTGAACTGAATTTAATTAAAAGGTGAACTAGAGGGGCAATAATTAGACATTTTACAGGTGGAGGCCACTAATAATGCCACGTCAACCAAACCCCCAGACAGTTTTAATTTGTTTGGAATACTAAAAACAAAAAGTTTTATTTCTTGTTATCTATCATCCACCTAGCCCTTACTCAGACTTTTCTAAGGCACATCAACAAATCTACAGCAGAACTGCTGAAAAAGAAGAGGTGTTGAAATGTCCCAGTCAAAGTCAACCTCAACTTGATTGGTATACAATGGTAGAACCTGAACAAATACAATATTAAATGAACCAGACCAAAGTTGTAAAGAGTAATAACCCAAAAATCCTCTACAATGATTTGACAAACTGACAGTTATACAGAAAACAATCACTTGAAGTTATGGTTGGTACAAGTAGTTCCACAAGATATTGAATTATGGTGCAAACTTTGCATTTGAAAAAAAAAACGTGTGCCCCTTCACATTATAGCAGGGTGCAAGATGCCAACAGGCAGGGCCATACATGGAAATATCAACTTCCTCGTTGTATACTACCAATTTTCTGTTCTACAGTTTATCTGAATTATTATGTGAACACTGTTAAACAAAGAGTATACAGAAGGCTTACATGTAAATCAGATATGCATAAGCTCCACTGACAAGTTTGACAGCACTGTTTAGAAGTTTGCCACTGTCAGACAAATGTGCCATGATAGAGGCAATCAGGTTTGGAGCCATTAAATTCCAATAAACAATTGAAAACATTAAAACTACAACTGTTTTTTAATTACCATGAGTACTCAAAGTCACTGAAGTTTTTGGTAGTTCCAAGTTTCAACTATTTATTAACCTGTTTTTAAATAAACGTATGTTTTGTGTTATATTATGCAGTTTATCTTCACATAAGTGTGCGAGGACCTACATTTCCCTGCTTCAAAATATCAGCATCTAAGCTGGTTACTAAGTGAAAAGCTATCAGCATGCCTACCCAGGTCATGTTTTTGCTTTGCTGTACAAATGATTACAAATCAAATTACAGATGAACACGTTTTTGTGATTTTTTTTAACTAAAGTTTCATTTTTAGTGGAATTTTGAATTGAATCCCTGACTTTGGTTTCCACTGACCATTATTATGTCATTTTGTTATCAATGTACAGAAATTTGAATATTTAATTCATCGAGATGCCATAAGTATTAGAGCATATCCTTATTTCTTTGAGTGGGTTAGTTTTAGTCACTAAAGCCTTTTCATAATATTTTCTATGAATACCACAAATACCACATTACAGAAGCAGAAATGTCAGAGATAAAACTGATCAGCCTGATTGGAAACCATGAGAGAAAGAGCCCCGAGCACACATGGTGAATATACTCTGGCTTATGGATCACCTGAATCTGAAAACAAATTAAAAAAAGAGAGAAAACTGTAAAAGGAAGCACTGTGTCAAATAATTTAGGGGTGACTGTCTGGAATGAGTCCAATGCATCGCAGAGTTTGACAGATGAGTGAGTGAACATTTGTCATTGATGCTTTCAAAAAGCAGCAACAAACACACAAACTGTTCAATTCAGGCTAAATGAAACATTCATGAATGTTCATTACAGACACCAAAAGGCCTAAAATAGAACAGGTACTAATGAATTCATGAATGTTTGTTCATCAATAGAAAATATGTCTAATGTTTTTTAAGAAAGATGCTGAAATAGCATTAAAGTTAGTTTGCAGTCTCACACAGATAATATTACACAATTACTTAAGTCAGTTTATCTGTCTTTCACATATTAAACCTGCTTTCATTCATTAATGCAGTCAAAGGGTGAATGTTTCATCTTAGTGATTAAAAACGATCTACCTTGAGTGTAGCCATGGTCAGCTTTACCCTCGGGTAAGCAGCATGTCAGTCTCAAAGTACATACTAGCTTGCTCTTGCCTCCTGTTTCATCACTAATGGAGATCATAATGTACAGACTGAGAAGCTGCAGTCTACAGCTCTCACAGAGATAGCTTGCACAAAAAAGTAACCGAAAATGTTTGGGTTTTTTAGATTAAGTGAATAGCCGGATTTTCAAAAACATTTTAGCCACAACAGCATATAAGAAACATTTTTAATAGATGAAATAAATACTCCATTACATGCATGGTCAAAACACTTGAAAATAATATGGGGAAGTCTGGTAGATAGTGTAAACCCTAGGGCACACACTCACAGCAGCTTTAAAAAAATTCACACACACTGAAAAAAAAATAAAAGCATCTTGACACTCGGCTCACTCTTTCCAATCTCACAAAGCCCATATAATGGAGCAGGTCAGCCAACTATAGGTTCATACTGCGAGGCTACATCCATCATCGAGGCTGGTGTTTTCACTGCAACTGAAAACTGAGGTAAACTTTTCAGGTCTGAAAGCTGCTGTCTGTTGGTGAAAGCACATTGTCTGCTGAGCCCAGTTCATACCCAGAGTGGGTGAAGTGGTCCGTTTTGAGCATGGTTTAAGTTAAGTTACATCCAGCGCAACCTCAAAAACCCTGCAGTGGTTGTTTTAGTGCTTTTCTGCATTCTACACACAAATTTTAACCACAAGAACAGGCCCACACAGTGTTCTTCGGATGTTACTCTACACCTGATGAATAGGGATTAACCCAAAGTGAGTCTCTTTGGTACATGAAACAAGACACTGAACCTACATAGCCCCTTCCTAAACTAATTCACAGAATGGGAGTTGACTGGTGGCAGAGTCCTTGGAGAGGAGCGCTCTCTGAGTGCCTGAGTAAGCAGAGTGCAACCATCGGACACGGCGCACGCCGAGTTACGCAGACGCTCACGGTAGTCTGCCATTTTGGAGCTGCTCTCGGGATGCTGGGCAACATCCCTGAGGCCCTGAGTGAGAAGGACACAGGCAGAAACCACACTCATGGCCCCACCTAACACTGCCGTTTGCACCCCCTTTCCTTCGGCAGAGATGCTCGCAGCTCTTCCCAGGAACTGTGGCTCTGTAGCAAACCCAACAAGGGCGCCGACAGCCTGGACGAGAGCAGCACTGAAGAGGATGCATCGATTCCTGGTCAGCTCACTGGGCTGGGTTTTCACCTCCTTCACACACGCCAGGAAGGCCGTGCCACTTGTGCTCATGCTCTTGACGCTCAGCTTGAACTGCTCTTTTGCAAAGCGATCCCTGGACCTCTCGCTGGCCAGTGATGAGATGTCCGTTAGAGTCTTGAGGTTGGTGGAGATGTTCTGAGAGAGCTCGAGGAGGAGCTGTGGGGTGAGGTCTTGCAGGTGAGTGACTCGGAAAACGCTGCAGCTCTGTTCTACTTCATGTCGACAGCGGGTCACCTTGTAGCGATCCACCAGACCCGGAAGGCATTGTTGAGAGCCAGGCGTCTCCACAGATGCCAGGTAGGCAGCATGAGCTGAGCACTCAGTCAAAGACACCACAAGGTTAGTCATCTCCAGGAGGCGGTCCCCTACTTCCGTGAAGCGACCCATGTTGAGCTGGCTCTGGATGTCATGGGTGAGAATGGAGAGCTCTTTAGTGCGGGCAATGACCGTGTCACGGCACTGGTCGAAGGTGTCAGCCACAGCCACACCTTCAGATGTCATGACAGGCCTGGTCTCACTGGACAGCAGGAGGAGGTCAGCCACGAGCTGCATCTTGCCCTTACATGTGTCACAGATGAAGGAGAGCCGCTTCCTCTGCTGCAAACTGCCACCGGGTGTGCTGGTTGATCCCTCACTTGCTGATTTGCCAGAGCCACCACTAGCCATAATAATGAAGGGAGTCAGAGGAAGGGGGAGAGGGTCAAATGGCTCTTATATAAGGGTTCAGATATCTCGTTTTCTGCTGCTACAATGCATTTTACTGTTTAAGACACTTCTCAAATAAAACTAAACTTTTAAATAAGAACTGGCCAAACAGTCTTCCTTAAGTTCCTTCAGAGTTTAGGTTATTAATTGTAAATTACATGTTAAAACACAAGACACGTACGCTCAGTGTAAACATGCGGAAAGAGCAAAACTCAATTACTACATTTACCCCAAATAGTTAACGCATATGTGTCTGTATAAAAGCCTTAAGAATAGGAGTACATGTGAATATATTCTCAGCATTATCTGCCGTAGTTTGTTAGTAAATCTATTACACAAAACACCCAAGAAAAAGCCCTACAACTTTAAAGTAATCAGTGTAACAAGATATACGCTCTTATTTGGAAATGTTAACTTAAATGCCCTGAACAACATAGTCACTATTCTAAGTATAGTCCCAGATTGTTGTGGAGAAAAGGAATTCACAGGCTTCTAAATTAAAAAATACAAACAAAACACACAAACAGCAGTGCCACCAAGGTGCCTTCTAAACGGGAAAGTACACACTGACAAGCCCCTTGTCATCAAGAACATTCCCAAAGTGAATCTCTGCTGATCAGCAAACGTCAAATTTCCTTCCTTGGTGCTTTTTTTTTTTTCTTTCAAAGAAGACGTCACCTCAGCAATGAACGGGTGCCTTTTGAGTTTTCTCTCTTTCTCGCTCTCTCTGTTTTTTAACTTCAGGATATCATTTTGTGGCCATTCGCGTCACAGCAAATAGCCAGAAAAAGCACCGAGATCTTGGCCGACTTGTTCCCACCGAGTGTGGCGTTCTCATGCTGGTTACAATCGGGGAACCACCCGGCAAGCTGTTCTGGTCAGTGGAAGGACTGGAGTTATCCTCCAACACCATCATTTCACGGGTCCTCCCGAGTAAAATTCACCGAAAATGCCACTGTCCAGGAAGAAGAAGCCTCTCAGTCCACTTTCAACCTCTTCTTTTTCAATCCGAGCGCTGGGTTATAAGATAGCGACTGCTCCGGTCCTCTCGACTCCATATGCATCGTCCGTCAGTCCGCCCTCCACGTCCTCCTCCGCGTCTTAACTCGGGACTCGAGAGTGTGTAGCCCCGCATATCCTCTGTGTGCGCTCACTTTTCATATCCATACCAGCCAGTGTTCTCTGAACATATAAATCACTTGTTTTGTAGGTCCACGACACCGAATCCAAACAGCGCAGCAACAAGAAGTGGCCGTTATTCCCAGCGACTGAAAGTAGAGCTGCGCGCTCCCACTACAGTACTATCAGGAAGCAAGGAGGGTGTGGTCGCTTCTGAACGGCTGCTGGACTGAGCAAACTTGTAGCAACGGAACAATACCGGCAGTCCTCCGCGGTTAAGTAATTTAGCACCGTTTATATTTACTAACCTAATGTAGTTTAACATTAACGGAGTCGCGAAAAAAGTTCGTAGTTATACAGTGACCACAGAGTTCCGCGACCTGTTTTACTCTCAGGACTGGCGACTGCTGCCCTGCCATAAGACACCCCTATAAAGTCAAGTGAGGCGCTAGCGCTAGCATAGCGAGCTTCCGAGACCGGAAGCCTTTTATTAAACAAATAAAAGCACAGCTTTTATGCAACAGCATGCAGCCATGACGGCGAGGCCATGGCGTTTGCACTTGTATGGGATAAATAGCTGATTATTTCCTTTTAAAAAAAAGATGCTTCTTTTATTTTAGTTAAATTACATGTTTTAAGTTGGTTTCAATCAGTGAGTGATTTTAGTTATTTCAATTTATTTCAAGTTATTTTCAATTTTGTATTTAGCATCATTCATCCTAAACACTGAAACTCCTCTGTTGACGCATATTGCTGATTAGTAGAAAGAGGCATTTCACATCTGTTTAATCATAAAAGACAACTGAAAATAAAACATAGCCTCACCAAGGCACAGCAAACTGCACTGAACATATGACAAAAGGCTAATTTCATCATAATGACAAATGCAGACAAACTTTGCTGGGATAGAGAAGGCTCTAAACAAGACGTTTTGAGAAAAATGAACAACATAACTTTTTTAAAAATCAACGATTACAAGGAAACTTTACTGTAAAATTAAGACAGCCTCTGTTGAGGTGCATCGGCCTGTACCTCAACAGCTACAGGCCGATGTCAGAGCCACTGGCCTGTAGCTGTGGAGAGCATCCTCACACAGAACATGACATCGTGGTTTGGGAACAGCTGTGTGAAGGACCAAAAAGCTCTCCAGAGAGTGATCCGTACAGCAGAACGCTGCTGCAGGATTGCTCTCCCCCCGCTTCAGGACACCTACACCAGGAGATGCCGGACTAGAGCAGATACTGAAGGACCCGTCCCATCCTGGCAACAAACTGTTCCAACTTCTGCAATCTGGTAGAAGGTTCCGCATCTTCCGGGCAAGGACAGAGAGACTCAAGAGGAGCTTCTATCCCCAAGCCATCCGTGCCCTAAACACACACACCCGCCCTCTCACATCATCTATAATTGACTGAGACAGGACTCTTCCAGACACTAAACCAAGGCACAATGTACATTTCAAATTCCTTTAATTTTAAATATGTTTATATTGTCTATCCTGTAAAATAGTCAGATGTCTATCCATATTAATGTACAGAATTCACCTGCTTGCTGCTACTACTGCACATTCACCCAGTGTATATACTATATGTATGTATATATATATATATATTAGGGGTACAACAATATTCGTATCGATATTGAACCGTTCGATACAGTGCTTTCGGTTCAGTACGCATATGTATCGAACAATACAAAATTTGTAATTTATTTTATCAACTTTCCTTCTGACGATGCTGTCTGTGTTGAGCGCTCAGTGAATCTGTGTTCGACTACTCCGCCTAGGCTGCACTGTCGAGCGCAGATCACTGAGCGCTCAACACAGACAGCATGTCAGGAAGAGCCAGGCAAGCAGCAAGACAGAAGTAGCTCGCACATTCAGATCTGGTGTTTGGAATTATTTTGGTTTTCATGTGACATATGACCCTGAAGGTAAGCGAGTCATGGACTAAAGTAAAACAGTATGTTGGATGTGCCATGCAATGCTCAATTACATGGTGGAACTAGTGTGTTAGCGCAGTTAGCTCGTTAACGTGTTGGCCGTCTAGCCCCATGCACGGGGCGATCGGCGGTAGCTCGTTAACGGAGATTTGCCGTGTTGTGGCGTTAAGGTCATTTCAACGAGATTAACCTGAAAGCACTAGTGGGAACACAACGAATATGACTGCACATTTACTCCGACATCATCCTAGTGCAAAGACAAAAACAACAAGCATGCTACTAACTTTAGCCGAGTCATTTAGACAGCTGTTAGCACATGATTCTCCTTATGCTGCTGAGAATATAGCCCAGAAGAAGCGGATAGTATAGCTTTTATTTGGAAAGAGACATTTCTCTGTAATAAACTCTCTTTTCCAAAGATGAGTGATTCCTCAATCAGATACAGGGCTTGCAAAATCGCTAGCCCGACGTCCTGGGGCTAGCAATTTTTTCAGTCGGGCTACCAAAATCTATCTCTGCCCTGCCCGTCGGGCTATTGTAGGAAAAATATATGTCAATGCTTTTGCATTCTTTCAGAAATGTAGCTGGGTAATTATGTCATTGGCATCGGTGAGCCACTGTCAATATGTGACATATTGAAGTCGCGTTTGAATTTGCGCTTGTTTTTTTGCTTTCACTTTGCAATCGTGTGAACTGTGTATAGAGAGCGACAGCACTGATCTGTGAGTGATGATAATTTGTGCACCAATTCCTCTGACATTGTCTTATTAATCGTTAGCTTACTATGCAAACATGACAAGTGAAATCTCCCGCAGCTTAAACATGTGAGAGGTTGATCGCGCAGAGAATCGCTGAGCTTATGTGAGTGGCGTGTAAAAGCATTTCAGTTCTGCTGAGCCAAATAAGACAGGTCAGGGTGAAGAAGTGACAGCCAAAGAAAAGCTTACCACAAAACGGAGAAGTTATGACAAATCAGACTATAAGGCAAAAAGAAAGTGCAGCTTTATGGTTTCATGGACAAAAGAATTTCTGTGGCTGCAATATGACGAGCTAAATAACCAGGGCTGCACATAAGTGGTCCGCAGGTGCGCATTCGCTGTCAAAATAAAAAACACGCACAAGGGTTAGGGTTAAATTTAAAAACTGTACTTTTGAGTTAAAATATATATTTACAATTTTAATAAATGACAAATTAAAAAGCATGAACATTTTTTTGTATTGAAAAAATATCGAACCGTGACACCAAAGTATCGAACCGAACCGAACCGTGAATTTTGTGTATCGTTGCACCCCTAATATAATATATATATATATATATATATATATATATATATATATATATACATATATATATATATATGTATATATGTATATATATATAAAAAAATATATATATATATATACATATATATATATATATATATATATAAAATGTTCTTCCTCTACCCCCCCCCCCCCAATTTTTTGCACATGTCGAGGAGCGTGTCAGGCTACATTTCACTGTGACATGCATGTGACAAATAAAGAACCTTGAACCTTGAAGTCCTTGGGGCGTGAAGTCTTTGGCACTGGTACAACACAGGAGGTTTTCCAGAGCTGTGGGACTCTTCCCAACCTCAGGCTCAGGTTGAAGAGGTGCTCCATCACCCCACACAGTTGGTCTGCGCAGGACCTGACGACCCTTGCGCTGATGCCATCTGGACCCGCTGCCTTCTTGGCTTTAATCCTCCTCAGTTCCCTCCTAACCTGGGTGGTTGAGAGGGACAGGCTGGAGCCTTGTGTTGAGTGTGTATTGGATGCTGTTGTCGGGGGTGGGGAGGAGTGAGCAGGGTGATTAGAGGAGGTGTAAAGTCTCTGAGGTGTCAGAGGTGGAACAGCAGCAGTGGGGGTGGGTGAGTCTGCAGCCGGTGTTGTAGACTGTCTCATGGATGAATCAAATCTGTTGAAGAAATGATTCAGTTCATTTGCCCACCTCACATCCCTCCCAGGCAGAGAGTTCTGCTGTTTGTGGCCCGAGATGGTTCTGAGGCCTCTCCAGACTTCACCAACGTTGTTTTGCTGAAGCTGGTTCTCCATCTTCTGCCTGTAGCTGTCCTTCCCATTCCTTATCAGTCCCCTCAGCTCTCTCTGCACCCTTTTCAACTCCTCTTTGTCTCCAGATTTGAAGGCCCTCCTCTTCTGCTTCAGGACAGCTTTAATTTCTGGGGTAATCCAAGGTTTGTTGTTGGAGAAACACCGCACAGTCCTAGTAGGTGCGGTGTTATCCACACAGAAATCAATATAGTCAGTAATGCATGTAGTAAGGCTGTCGATGTCCTCTCCGTGGTCGTCACAGATCACCTCCCACACAGTCGACTCAAAACAATCCTTAAGAGCCTCCTCGCTCTCCTCCGACCATCTCTGCACTGTGTCGGTGGCTCCCTGCGCACTAATGTCCTGTCTGGCTGCTTTTGCAATCAGAATTTTGATCTGAATGCATTGTGGTGCCAAATACATTTTTCTTTTGCAAGAACAGCTATGTAGAATCTCTATAGGCTCCTCTTGTTCATGTGAATATTTTATCTGTTTATTTATTAATTTTTATTTGTGTTATTTCAGTTATTACAATATATGTGATATAGTATGACGATGTCTAAGGCAAGACAGGCAAGAGAGAAAAAGGAGGAGATGGGGGATAGACTAAAAGGATGGAGTACAAATAGAAATGCACAAAGTATTGCTAACTCCTGCACCTGTAAGTGACAAAAATCCAAAAACCATACAGCACCTGGAACACAAAACCTTGGATCACAAAAATGTAAAAATACATAAATCAACAATCTTCTTACCGTGTGTGCGTGTGAGAGAATAAGTGAGTGTATGTTTGTGTGAGAATGAATTCATAATAAAGGTGGGAAGCTGCAGCTCACACCGGTAACGGGTAACCGAGGGAGGAGGCCACACCAGTACATCCAGCCACGCACCCCGGGACCAACAAGCAGCCAAGGAGGGGCAAAAGAGTCCAACGTGGAGCGGTGACCATGTCCCAACGGGACCAAGGTCCAGCAAGCATCACACCCAGGCTTGCACACAAACAAGCCATTTGCTCACTTACTCACTCATTAGACACCCATTAGAGCACTTTGCCCTCGGACTGCGGCCTTACTTGTGGTTCCATGAATTTTATTTTTTAAATTTAATTTATTTTTTGCCTCTCCAGCACTGTAACAATCACAATTATTGTCTGATGGCCAAGAAAAATGCCAGACTGATTTATTTTTCCGAGTGGACCATTATGGCTTTGCCATACTGGAAGTGAGGACACACAAGGAACGCAGCTGACACGAATAACCATAACGAGGCAGGGGAAGCAAGACTGAACAGAATGAACATGAAAACACAAGAGCTTCACAATAAAACAGGAAGCATGATGCAGGAGTGGAGCAGAGGCTGACAAGAGGGAGCGAGGGAACACGAGGGAAAGAGCAGACATGACAGGCTGGGGAAACATGGATAAACCACAAGAAGGCAAAACAAGACAAAGTAAATGGCCTGTATTTGTATAGCGCTTTACTAGTCCCTAAGGACCCCAAAGCGCTTTACACAACCTGTCATACACACATTCACACACTGGGGATGGCAGCTACATTGTAGCACAGCATTGTTTTTCTTGTGACATTACCAATAAGTGTGATGTGTCACATGACCCTCTTCCTATTGAGAAAACAAAAGTTGTATCCAAGATGGCCGACTTCTAAATGGCCACCATGGTCACCACCCATCTTGAGGAGTTTGCCCCCTCACATATACTAATGTGCCACAAACAGGACTTTATATCACCAACCATTCCCATGTTATTACGCTGTATCCATATAAATGGTCCACCCTGTAGTTTGGAGCCCAAAGCAGGGTTCAGACGTCATCACCTAAAGACTGGATATCCCAACTGCTTTGACTGTTTTAATGCAGTACAGTTGTTTATTTTACTTTACTTTAATGTCGGTCATATGGGTGGTACTTTAAGAGCCATATATTTTATGTTGTTGTTTTTTGTTTATGTAGCTTTAACTGGTTAGTAAGGAATTTTCCAGATTTAGTACCACATACAACGTTGTCCTAACGCAACCTTTGCATCAGAAATTTTGTTCTCTGGTTAAATATTTCATTTAATTCTAGTTATCGTTTTCTCAGGTTGTTGATTACATGTTCTTGTGTGGCAGCATAGGCAGATTCCAATTATCTTTTGTTCTAGTTCTGATACATTTTTTTTCACATTTTACATCCGTTCTCAAAGTGGTTAACAAAGTGTTAACCATTCTAGAGGGGATGGTGAACTAATATCATCTGAAGACTTTTGTGGTTTTAAAAGGGGATTTATGTGGTCTGAGCCCCATTCTGTTAATGCTGTGAGATAAATTCTTTTTGTGTGTGTGTGTTACGACTTTGAGCCCTTCTAATGTAAACCTATAGTTCATCATAGGCTCATCATCATCACATTCTTATGTAGCGCTTTCCTACTCTCCTGGAGTACTCAAAGCGCTCTATACAACACGCCGCATTTACCCCATACATACAAGCAATATTATCTATACGGTAAGTGCTTTTCTAACTATCATTCATATGCATTCATACTTCGATGGATGCATCGGAGAGCAAGTCGGGATTAGTATCTTGCCCAAGGATATTTGGCATGCAAACTGGGGGACCCAGCGATCGAATCACCAACCTTCCAATCAGCATCTGACCTGCTCTACCTCCTGATCTACAGCCACCCTGCAAATACATAACTTCATATATACCCAACCACTAATGGGTTTCATGATGAAGAGATTATCAGTGTTATTCGCCTCACCTCTAAGTAATCATAATGATGTTCGTGATCTGCATGTAAAAGACAATACTATTCCCTAAAAGAATTAAAAACTGCCCAGATGTAAGCTGCCTTGGCAGAGGTTTGCACTCCCAATACTTATTGTTCCATTTACAGCCATCCTATCTCCTTATTTCTTGTGTGTTGTATGAGAGAAATGCAGACTTCCCTATTACAACAGGGTCACTACTTTCACTGGTCTACCTGGAGGAAAACATGTTTCCTTATAAAGAGAAAAGGGCAGCATGCAGATTGTATGGAGGCTGTTTATTCTGAATGATTCTGAATTACTAACATACACAATGTGATAAGAATAAAGTAGATTCATATTTCAGAATACACATGAAATACAAATCTATCTCCTAAATCTGACAGTATTTTTTGTGCAAACCTATTTTCTTGCATAGGATGAGAAAATTTCCATGCAAGTAGTGGTAATGTTACTCTATTTTCTAATTCTCAAAAACATACATCCAAGAATTAAGAATTGTGTAAACAGAAGACTTAAGTTCCTTTCTGCAACTGTCAACTATTTGTCACCAGAGAAATCCAGAGAACAAATTATATAATTAATAAAGTGGTCGGCTTCTGTAGCTGCAAGAAAAGCCCAAACCATCAACTTTCCCTTATCATATTTGGCAGCTGGTATGGAGTTTGCGCTGACATCCAGTGTTTGACCAAATCTATGATCTGACCTTGGAGTGAACTTCCCAGAATGTCCACTCCTGGGAAGATTGCGGCTTAGTGTTCACACATACCTAAAAATCCTCCCAATCAGCAAAGGGTCAAATCTTCTCTTACAATGGTGGTCACATCAAGTGCATTTGATTAGCAAGACCTTTGATTAACTGCTACTCAGTCTAGTCTAATGCCTATTCAAGGTACTTAAGTTTTTCAGAGAACTTTATGCAGTCCTGTGAAAAGTCTCTTTTGATATGACTATATAGTTTAAATGATGATAAAAATCCTTTATAAAAGCCATCCAAACCTACCTGACCGTATGTGAAAAAAAGTTATACCAAGCTGGTATAAAGTCAACCTCAATCTTTATAAGCTTATTGGTATGGCTCTCGACAACAGTCCTATGACTATGTCCACACATGCACAGGGATTCTTCAGAGTTTATTTTGAAAAACCTCAGTTCACATCGAAATGCAAAAACCAAACCCAAACACTGTCAAAAGCAGCTCACAAACATGGTGCAAATTGACCAAAACAAGTAAATGTGCACACTTTTGACATTGTGTGGCAAAATCTTAGTTTTCCCTGTCCACGTCTAAACACAGGATAGTGTTTTCGAACATCTTTACCCTGGCAGCTCCTTCTCCATCAATTGAAGCACCTCATTTTTAATCCAAAACTCCGTTTACATGTGGATATAAATGTTTGTATCTACATTTACCAAAATACCTGTGTGCATGTGGACATGGCCACAGTTTCTCACGCAGTCCCTTGAGAAAATTACAGTGGAACCCCGGCTTACGAAATTAATTCGTTCCCGAGGGTCTTTCGTAAGTCGAAAGTTTTCCTAAGTCGAAGCACCCATCGCGCCTTTTGACTGAGGCGATGCTGAACGACAGGCTATAGGCTAATTGCTAACTAGAACAACAAAACGTCGTTCAAGTGGAACAGCGAAGCTCAAGTACAGAAGCCAAGGGGTTGTCACATGATTCGGAAGGAATTGTGGGCATTGTAGGCTCAGCCAATCAGAGCCAGCGGATTTCGTTACTCGGGCATTTTGCTGCAACACGGTCAAAAATGTTCAGTGCCTTTGTAACTTGACTTTTTCGTGAAACGGGGTATTCGTAAGTCGGGGTTCCACTGAAATTGTATAGAGGAACATTGGTGCTGCATATTAACCTACTAAGACCCAAACTCTTTCATGGCATGCATTTTCAATTTCTATTTTGCTATTTGGGCTGATTGGAACCTGATGAATGTAAAAACAAAGAATTACGTGATTTTTAAAAAAAATTTTTTTTTACCTGATTTTTGTTTCGGAGAAAAATGAGACTTGCTTTAAATTTGATAGAACAGTTACAGTATAATGTCCTCGTAAGTGGATGTCAGGCCCTTATAGAGCAAGATTTTGTATTTTGGTCTAGACAACCCAAAATATGACGTCCACATATATGGACGCCAGGTCCTAGGAGGTCGATTAGAAGTTCCCAAGACGAAGGTAGTCGAGAAGGTCCCAAAAGTCTTAGATCCTGAGGGACTTCCAGACAGACAGTTTTATACTTGGCACCAGCAGATTACAGGCACATCATCAGATATCTCTGTTCAGAAGAGTGCAGCAGCAGGAACATTTAAGATTCTGAACAAACTGACTGTCATTCAACAACCAGAGGAGTCAGTGCCCCCCCAACTGCCTCTCAACTGCATGTGCCAATGGCTCTGCACATATAAGTGCCACACTATGTTAAAAATGAAACATCTGTACACTTGTACCACTTCACATAACATACTTCCCAAAAACCTTTTACAGGAAAGACATTTTTTCCTTTTATTTGGGTCAATCAGGAGCTAAAGTACTTTCATTTTTCAGAGTCCACCCAGACCGCTCTACACATGTCTCAGTGTATATACTTCAGAAACACCACCACCACTTGTCCTCACCCCCAATTATCTTTACACATGCACTCAGAGGTCACCTTCAGAATAATTACATCAATACAATACCAGATGAAAAGAGATCCCACATGATCATTAACGTGGCAAATCTTAGACATTACCAAATGCATAAAAAACAAAAAAGAAAACATGAAGGGAAAAAATCACATAATCATTATGCCAGCTTTAGTTTTTGTAAATGTGGAAGTAGAAAGGCAGTTCATATTTTAAAAACATGTCACTGTCTTACAGCTCTGCCCTTTAATATTTTTGTCATTTCATTTAAACAATCTTTCTGCAGTTAACTAAAACTGTTCAGTTCCTAAGCTGGCAAGCTGTTAAGGAAAAAAAACTAATTCAGGGCAAACGAATGCATACAAAAAGCTGACTGTCCAATTCCCAAATCAGGCAATATTGGATTTTTGTTTTATTATCACAACTATGTTCATTTCAGCGCTCCTGAAGCTTTAGAAAAATCTCTTCTGGTCGACTGCGTATGTCTTTCCTGCTGGAAGCTTTCGGAAAAATAAACTGTTGCCTCTGCTCATGTTGCCCTGTAATGAAAAGAGGTAGGAAGTGTTAGTAATAGTCAGTTTACACATAGTTTAATTATTTACATAGCACATTTAATTACAACAGGAGCGTTGACCAAAGTGCTGTACAAGAATAAAACATACATAATGCATGACCGAAAGACAGAACTAGAAAAGAACATTTCTGAAGAAATTCTGGGTGATGCTGCTGGGTCAGTTGTCATCAAACAATCCATAGTTTTCAGTCACGTGACTGACTCACTACCCTGGCATCGTGATTGCAAATCAGTCGGTAGTACTTCAGAACAAAGGTGCTGTTTTTCTCACCTTTCTTGGAAAGTAGTTGTAGAAGTTAAATGTGCATTAAAAAGTTGACTAATGACAAAAGAAAATTTGGCCACAAACAAATCTGAAAGCCTTTATTCTTGAAATTACTTGAAGAGTGAAATTATGTGTTTTAAATGTCTAAATTCAAGAATCTCAAATAGAAACAGAACATTTGCAAAATATCTGTTGTGTGTCTGTGACAAAGAAGGGAACTGGCATCAAATGAGCAGAAAAAAATATTTTTAATCCTTAACTGTTATGTAGGTTTTATTTAAAGACTACATGTTAGTGGTAAATGGCCTGTATTTGTATAAGGCTTTACTAGTCCCTAAGGACCCCAAAGTGCTTTACATATCCAGTCATCCACCCATTCACACACACATTCGCACACTGGTGATGGCAGCTACATTGTAGCCACAGCCACCCTGGGGCGCACTGACAGAGGCGAGGCTGCCGGACACTGGCGCCACCGGGCCCTCTGACCACCACCAGTAGGCAACGGGTGAAGTGTCTTGCCCAAGGACACAACGACCGAGACTGTCCAAGCCGGGGCTCGAACCAACAACCTTCCGATTACAAGGCGAACGCCCAACTCTTGAGCCACAATGGCCTAGTGGGGAGATAAAGTGTTAGGACTCCAATTTAAAATAGTGGATGCATATAGGAGAGGGACAGGGAGGAGTCTGTGCTTTGATAGCATTTGTGAGAGAACCATAAATCCCAGCTCAAGAGGAATTACACTGGATGAAAGAGGGCAACAACAGCTACATTTTAAAGTATATATTATACATGTAGACAAAAGGTTTGGGTGGGAAAAAAAGACATATTTTCCAAACTGTTTTTAGAGCAGGTCACATGATCGTGCAGTGGTGGGAAAATTCCATGAAAAATCTAATTTTTCATCAAACTTAAACTGCTCTTGTGGAAAAAAAACATAAAACATATCAAAATATGGCTTTAGTCAATAAAAGTGCAAATTCTTGTGGCCCGTATAATGTTTGAATGACGTCCATGCAGATCCGCACAGAAAGGCCCCGGTGAGATGCTGCAGCCGAACTCAGGACCTTGTTGCTGTGCGGCAACAGTGGTAACTACTAGAGATGGCACGATACCACTTTTTTATGTCCGATACCGATATCATAAATTTGGATATCTGCCGATACCGATATGAATCCGATATAGTGTTTTTTAATAAACAAAACTGTTTTTTAAATATCTTGCTGCATTTTGTATAAGTTCATACTCAAGTTTAAAACAACAACTACACTAAAACTATTCTGTTATACCTGTATACAAAAAATATATTTCATAGTTCAGCAATACTGATCAATCTAATAAACTTAAACCTACACCATCCTCCCTATTCTGGTATTTTAAAGAGTACTTAGCATAAATATTAAGCAACCTAACTAATAGGGTTCCAACTCCCAGCAACAACAAAAATAAATAAATAAAAAATAGGGAACCACCCCTCACGCTCCACCTCATGATGCTTAATCGACGTAATCAACCTTAATTTGATGCAGTGTGAAAAAAAATGCACAGAAATCAATTATTTTTCAAGAAATATTAAATAGATTCAACATCTTTCTTCAACAAAATTGCAGACTGCACAGATGGTACCTTCCCAAAGGAAAAAGTACTATAGCTTACTAGGGTATATTAGACTTAATAGTTACTATATGCAGTAATTGACTTCTATTCATTTTACATCAAATTAAAACTTTGGGTGTCAGATAATTATTTATTAAAAGCTCGACATTTTAAATGAGAATAAGAAAGAAAAGTATGTCTTTGTGCCCCCTTTTCCCTGTTAATGCCCTATCGGCCCCCTGGCTAAACTTTGCTAGATCCGCCCCTGCACAGTTACCAGCGTCAGCTACGTAGAAAAAGATCCTGGAGTAGAAAGTAATATTAAATAAATTCTAACAACAGCTGATCAAGCTTAAACGTGCTGCTGTTGTTCAGCTGCTGGTTTCCTCTTTCTGGTGCAAAGTGGGCCAAAAGCAAACAAGAGAGACGGACTCGCGACAGAAAAGCCGATCAGCTGATCACAGATCAGTTTCATGATTGAAGTAGCAGCAAGAGGAGGCAGTCGCTCCATATATCGCTTGTTAAGCTAAACGCAGGAATGCTTTACAAACATTCAGAGATGGACTTACACACTTGCTTTACTTCTCTCGGGGATAACTTTGTCGGAGATGAAATGCCGGGTTGCTAGCGAAGCTCCACATGCTATCCAGACCACCGACAGGTCCCGCATGCCACAGCCGCTCTATCACGTGATGCATACTGCTCCGACGTGCTAACGTTCTGAGGTGAGTTACGGCGTGTTGCAAGTTTTGTGAGGTGCTTTCGTGATATTTAATGGATCGGATTACATTTTTTATTTTTCTCCGATATCCGATCCAGTAATTTAGGTCAGTATCAGACCGATACCGATACGTAATATCGGATCGGTCCATCTCTAGTGTATACTGCACCATGGTCCATTCCAGTAAGTGCATTGTTGAATAGGCACACTTCATAACATCAAGAGGATAATAAAAAGTGTGCTATTGAATTCAACTGAACTCAGATATTTATACATATATAAATATGCTCTGGCAGAACCAGGCTCAGGGAGTGGCAGCCATCTGTTGGTTGGGGGTGAGGGGAAGAAGACAGGACAAAAGACACGTTTCGGAAGAGACAGAAATTAGTAATAATTAAATGCAGGTGGTGTATAAACACATAAGTAAAAAAAAGTGTAAAGAAGAAGGAAGAAAGAAAAAGAAAACATCAATTTCACAGTGAATTACAGGAAGAGTTTTCACTACTGTGAACGATTCATGTGGCAACGGCAAAGCGGCACAATGTGGAGAGACGTTTCTGAACGTGTCACACAAGCTGCCATGCTAACTACCCGATGGGCAGAAACAGCCCGCGAGTTAAAGGCAGGTTTGAGCAAACAGCAGTCTTTTTTCATGAGAACTGTGAAAAACTCCCAAAAAGCCTCATTTAGAGCTACACATTTCTTAATTAAGAAAAAGAAGGCATTTTTAGACGAGAAGGTTTTCAAAGAAGCAATCATGATAATTGCAAAGACTGTGCTTAAAGAGGAGAAATATGGAACTGATGTAATCTCCATTCTCTCCAATGTCCAACTGGGGGCAACTACAATAGTTAGAAGAGTGTCGGCTATGTCCGGGAACTTGGCTGATCAGCTGGACTGGGATCAGGCAAAGTGCAGGTGGTTTAGCATCCAGTGTAACAGTCTGTGGACAGCAGCAGCACAGCTGATGGTCTTCATCTGGATGGTATTTGACGATTTCCCCACAAAAGAAGAACTTCTGACACTACTGTCACCAAAGACAACTATGAGGTCTATGAGGAGTTGACATCTATAACGCTGTGAAGAAAAAGGTACCGGTGGAAAAGCTGGTATCAGTGACCACCGACAGGGCCCCTGCTATGATCAGCCAACATACAGGATTCATCCCTCACTGAAAAGGTGACACGGAGTTCCTAAACTTTATGCTGGGGTACACCGAGTGGACACTTGACCTTTCATTTTAAAGGACATTACTGGGAAACTGAAAGCTGCAAGGCAAAGGTAAGACTGTTGCTGACATAAGTGCTTTAAATGCATTTAAAGCCCAGAGGGACATTTTTCTCTGTGCATTTACAGAGAAAAAAGGTGCTCCACTTCCTCTCTGTGCTGAAAAGATAATGTTTCTGCATCTGAGACTTTTGACAAAGTTGCAGAAAAGTACTCTTAAGTCATAAACAGGCTTGGACAAGACTTTGAGAACAGGTTTTGGGACCTTGATCAGTTTAAGCCAAGTGTGATGTTCATTTCCAAACCTTTCATGAACGTGGAAACAACGTGCATTGCTCAGTGCGATGCTCAGCTTGGATGCTGGACGGGTGGAAATTGTAACACTGCAAAATGACCTTTACCTCAAAGCCCATCAGGATGAACCAAACTTTCGGTGCCTCGTTGACACAGAAAGTACAGTGGTGTATGCACAGCAGCTGAGAAGGTTGCCAGCCTGTTTGGTTCAACCCATCTTTGTGAATCGTTACTATTGAGCAAATGTTTGAAAGGAGCTGGATTAGTTATATACTTGCCTCTCTGCTAAGATGCATCCAGCAGTCCACCCAGGTGGGATATACTGACGCATAGGGATCTCTGCCTCCAGCAAGCCTAATGAGAAAGTTATAATATGAGTCTGCTTGAATTTAGCAAGCTTGACAGCAGAACATGACGAGCTAACTTACCCACAGTTATTGACAGCCATTATGTTTGACACCAAAACAAAAGGATAGGTGAGCATGCTGGCAAAGAACTGCAAGAAAGAGCATGAACAGCATGAGACTGAGCCACAAACAGCTGCACTGACACTGTCTGTTACACTCACCCCTGTCATCGCCTGAGAGCAGTTCTTGATTTCTCCTGTGTGACTCATCTGTTCAGAAGAAGAGTCACTATTAGTCTGTGTTAGAGCCTCAATTTAAGACTGCTTGACAAAAACCCTCAAGATCTATGTCAGTGCGATACAAAAAAGTAGTTACCTAAACATACAATGAAAAAAATCTAACAAACAAAAGACGGCTGTTGCGTTTTTGCATGCACAAACTTGAATTTCAGGTATTTAGGAAAAAGGTATTTAGATTACAGAAGCCCCTAACTGGAGGACATAGTATACCGAGTCATCAATGGCATATGTATTGATGAGGTGAGCCAGCAGGTTACAAATCCACAGAGAAAGGACATCACCCAGCAGGCGAGGAATCAAACCACTAGGAAAAAGGAAACACAAACAAATAAAGATACACACGCCTTAGATAAAAGAGAAAAAGTAGAGATACTATGATCAAACACTGGGTTGTTTGGAGACTGAAGCCTAACACTGGCTGCAATGATGTTAGCTTAACTCACTCTTTGGCCTGAAGAAAAACAAGAGATACTCAGATATGGTGCTGCAACAATTCACTGAGTATTTCGAATAATTCGACTACAAAAAGTTCTTTGCTTCGATGCGTCGTTAAGGGACCCCTCTGCAGCGCCACTGTTACCATGGAAACTCGAACACGAGCATTTCAGCCACATTTACAACTAAAAACAGACTCAATACAAACGTATTGATTAGCAGTGTGTGACACACTGATACCACAACAGCAGCAGTGATGATGACGACGCTGGCACAGTCTAACAAAGAGCTGGAGTCTGTTTTACACACTGCGAGGAGCAAAGAGCTCAGCTGAAGAGAACGGGTTTCACATATTCAAAAAAGCAGCGTTGTTTGTGTAATCAGAGTCCTGATCAGCAAACTCTGACGTGATAAAAACAAAGAATATGTGTAGCTGCTTCATTCAGCGCCGTTTGTTTCACACAGCGAAAAATCGACTGTAGCCTCCAGAAGTTGCACAAAAACACGCAGATGAACTGTTAGCTTAGTTTCAGTTGTACAACTTTCTGAATGTTGACACCAACCTTCCTATTTTAAATGAAAGCGAGTACAGGTGGCATTATGTAAAATTAAAGCGTCTTTCACAAGCCAGTAAACTCAGAGCCACTGACCTGAAGGTTGTTAGGTCGTACACCCAATTATCGTTAATATTAATTAATCATAAAATCTTGTTTTCAGCAGCACAATAACTTTACGTCAAAGCACAAGGCAAACTTCAGAATGCTAATGTTTGCTTCACCACATCAGCCTTTAAAAGGAGCCACTGAAACCAATTACAGATGAAACAAAAACACTGCAGTTTCTAAAATGAAAACCAACGAGAAATTCACTGTGAAACCTGTGCTTGATCATTTACTATCGCTCGCTGATAAGACAAAAATATTTCTTAGCCAATTAATCGATAGAATAGTCGATAGATTCATGTAATACAAATCAATACTGAGCTGAATAGTCCTGTGAAACTTTATCCAGTGCTGCCTTTGACTCCTTCAGCTGCTACACAACCTCACACAGCACCGCTGCAAACAGGATGTCACACAACTCTCCCACTTACTGAACAGATGAAGTAGTTAATGTCCAGAACACTTTAGGAAGGATTTAAGCAGCCAGCAAGGATCAAATCTGAATAACAGGAAATATTTCATATTGTATCAAATATGGGATCCAGTATTTTCCAGGGGATCTGTTTTGATTCAATTGGATTTCAAGTTCTAGCACTGTGACAACTGATGATCTGCTAATAAGTAACTGCAACAATATCAAGAATGAATGAGCATTTCAGTGCATATGTTGGGAGCCCCGACTTCAGGAAATGAGGCTCAAGGTGCATCAATGCAACAATTGTTGGAAGATGCACTTACATACAAGTAATTTATGTATATTTATGAGAACAATATTTTTTCAGATTAAAAAAATATATAACAAAAACAGGCTATAGAATAAACCACTATATAAATGTATGGTTAAAGTCTGAATGCCAATTGTCTGATCATAACGGCGATCTTTCATCTCAAGACGTTAATATGCAAACGGTTTTGTTTTTTTATTATGATCAATGAAGAAAGAAGAAAGAGAGAATTGCCCGTGAACCAAGTTCTCCTGAGACTTGGTGCAAGATTCACTGCAGTGCCGAACACCAGCTAGAAGGCAAGCAAAGGTCTGATGGAGCACCTGATGGATCTTTGTTGTTTTTCATCCATGAACTCGCTCCGTACTCCTTCACGTGATTCTTGCGTAGGTGGTAGAAGAGTTTTCTGGTCCATGTCAGACGGACCAGAAAACCGTACTATGCAAATTATTTCATAGCCAGACCCTGTCCATGCTACAGAGGGAGCCCCTCGTCTAGGAATAAGGTCCTCAGTTTGTTTTGACTGGTCTGTTTGAGCCGCCTGCTTCTGCCTCAGTTTTACTGGCCATGGTTGTTCTCTGTGCCTGCATCCACACGGGGACTATAGCACCATTTATAATTACCTCAAAGAAAAAACAGGAATTTGTTTGATGCATATTCTAAAACTTGATGTTGGAGGATGATGTATATTTTCATTATTTCACATTTATTTTTATTGTGAAAAGGTTTATGTGGAAAATAAACACGCGGACGGCGGAACCACACCCTGGGTGTGTTGCTAACAGCAATGCTGTCGCAGTATTTTCAACATAAGAGAAAGAGAGAACTTTTAAGAAATAAATACAGCCATTACACTGACCATCAAAACCATGCAAAAAATATGGCTGTAAACAGTTTCGAGGTTGTCCAGGCAGGCAGCGACAGACACAGAGGCAACAGCTGAAGCTACAGGATACTGATTAACAAAGCTGTCAAGGACGACACAAGCTCTCAGCATGTCTGTGACAGACCGGACAGGATGTATCTGAAAGGAATAACTCAACATGTGGCCAAACCAGCTTCCCCAAACACTGACTCGTCTCTCTGACAGCAAATTTCTAAATCAGTTTTCCACTCAAACCTTCACACGGTTATTATTAATAATATTATTGTGTAACGTCAGATCTACTCAACACATTCCAACTACCAAACAATAATAAGAATTCAAAAATAGGGATTCACATCTGAAATATGTCATTTTCAGTCTGCACCTGCCCGGCATAAGAGTGCATACCTACTGGAAATCTCACCTTCTACAGCAATGTCGTCTATTTTTGTCTAATTTTATTTTATTCAGGACATGAAAACTGAACCTGTTTGGTTCTAGTTATTGAAAGTAAGCTTGGCGTGGTTTGCTCCTTCAACTCAACCAGGTTCACACGTCTACAAGTCCCTAAAGACTGTCGACATCTACACTACAGAACGTTGACAGTACTGTGGGCGAGTTATTACTGGATTTACTAAGAGGAGGGAAAATCAGTATTAACTGTCATCTAAGCAATCCATGCATGTGCCAGGTGCCTTAATGTGGAAAAAGCTCTTTTCACTGCATTTTCAGACAACCTAAAATACTCCAGACTAGAGCTTTAAAAAGCAACAAATGTGAAAGTCAATTTGTGTTATTGGGGAATTCTGTGTGTACAGACGTCCGAAAAGAACTGTGACTAAAACCTGAAAAACTAGAATATATATAACTTTTCAGTTTGTCATACATACACTACTGAAATGTGTAAAAGAAATGAAAATCATCATCTACAGGACAAAGAACAATGTACAGCATAATGTTATTCACATTGCACTTCCCCTGGCATCCCGAATCATGGCTGAGAGAGACAGAGGTGTATATGGAGATACAATCCTGTCACAAACATTTTACTACCAAAAATAACAACTTATTGCCAGCAAGACAAGATTTAGATTTTTCTGTCATTGTTATAAAAAAAAAAGGAGATAATAATATTACTAAATTACTAATAAAACAGTTTCGGCAACTCCCTCTTTGACGACACACTGAAGGAAGCTTCTTTAGTTTCTACTTCTGCAACAATCTTTTTCTCTTATTGCCCAAGTCATCCACTTAATGTCCAACACAAGTGTCTGTTGTCCTAAAGACTAATAGTGTCACACTTACGCAAAGAAGCCCAGAATGCCTTCTTCTCTGTAGACTGTGATGATGGAATCAAACACCCCACTGAGAACACAATTTTGTAAACGCTTAATAAATCTCATGGCTCTTCTCATTTAGTGTCACAACTAAAATACTGAAATTACCTATATTTGGTTTCTCTTCCAATGAACTGCACCATACATCGCAAAGTGATCACTGAAAAACAAGTCAAGAGAAACATTTCAGACTTCCTAAAGGTATGCAGGCATTATACTGTGCTGAACCACGCTGTACCATGGAAGGGATGTGTGACGATGGTGGCACAGGAGCGGGCAACCATCTCCCTGGTTGTCTGTTGAAAACACACAACAAGTCACTAAAGTTCAAGTATTGATGAATTGTACTATTAATGCATCAACAGCACTATAACAATAGTACTGTAAGTGCAGCTTGTTATTATCATGACTAACAGTTTCCATGTAATATCATCTGTACTCAATTGCAACTTAACTGTATTATGTGAAACCTATATTTTCAGTTTAGTCTAAAGCCTTTGTTTTCAAATACAATACGATTTAGCTTCAAAGTACACTTGTAGTGATCCTTTGTTGTTGTGGCCGCAGCTAGAAAAGGAAAGCAGAAATCATTTTTTAAAGATATTTCCTGATGTAAATAATCGACACATCATTTGGTTTGAAACAAATATGGTAACAACCAGTCAGCAGTGAGCTCAGGCTAATACTTGACCTTGATCACGCGACTTGCAACACGTGTTTTCACATTTGTACAATGTTGTGTCACCGAAGCATATTTGTTGGAATTGATTGTGATGCATTGGGTAATCTTCAGAACTTCATTCTGCTCAGTGGCGAGTATGAAAGCGTTAGCAAGCTAACGCTGGTTAACATCAGACTAGCAGCATTTAGTGTGTGCAACTTCAAGTGTTTTACGTTGAAGTTGTGTCCATTCTGTGTATAATTAACATTGTTATTGCCTGAGTTGTATTTGAGCTGTAAATAAAATGCTGCATTTTTCAAAACAAGCCTCCACTGAAGGATGGAGATGCCACAGTTCCAGTTGTTGCTGAGGCAACACACGAGGTTGATGAGATTTTGTCAACATCTTTGAAACCGGAGCTTTGTTCCCACATCCATCACTACAGACATTTTCCACTGTGGTTAGGCTGACAAAGCACAGGCAGGGCCACAACGATCAGTCTGTATCAGACATTCATTAACACACTTGACTAAGACAAACTGTATGTGCAAGCCTTTATGTGCACACTGTAACTGCAGCTGTTTTTCACTATTGATAATTACACCTTGGGCTTCTGCTGCTCCCAGTTCTTCTGCTTTTAGCCAAATGAAGTATTCTTTACGCTTATTAATTAAATATAACCAGTCTTACATTATACTGTGTTGACTAACTGTGTGCTCAGTTTCTTAAAGTATTACTAAAATACTTACTTTATCTCTTTTTCCTTAATAACAGTATTTTGTTTGCCCTTATTAGGTAAAGTGCTTAGACCAGACTTGACTGAAGTCAAGTGTGGCTGTGTAGTGTTGTGATTTAGCTTTGGGATTGCATAGGTCTTACCTCGTTAACAACCTGCTGTAGAGAGCTCTCTTTATCCTTCTGCTGCCCTCCCAGTATCTGGAAATCAGAGAAACCTCAGCGTCACCATCCTGAAAATTATTTTGACACTTTATACCCTTATTAAGAAATCGTGTACAGATGGCCTGAGGAGAGCGATGAGGAGCAACACACAATTCATTTGTTAAGTGGGGTCAGTGTGGGCCAAGGCCAGCATGTTAAAAGTAGCGCTGCATCTGGAGATTATTTTAGTAATAATGTGTTTAACCGATTACTCCAAAGATGAAAAAACAAAACACAGGTCTTTGAAAAATGAACCGTGCATCGGTTTCCATTACAAAATCTGCCAAAACAAACAAAACAAGCCCTGAACCCAGTCATTGAATTTATGTCATAATAAAATTAACGTTTTTGAAGAAAACACTTTCCTAAGTGCAAAAATTGAAAAAAAATCTCAAGTACAGTAATCGTAAAATAAGGTGTGCATGTAAGTTAAACAGAGGTAATAAATAATATTCCCTTTACTCCCTTTAATAGACCCTTTACTGTGTTACTAGGGCGGGGGTCTCTTAAACTCGTAGCATGCAAAAGAGTTGTAACAGCATTGCATCTCCTGATCGAGGTTTGGTGTTTGTTCATGCGTATGTGCTTCGTGTCTTTGCCTGTTTAAGTGCAAATCAGTCAGTTATGCACCTGCGAGCCTTTAAAGGAGTGCAGGGTGGCTGCAATAATGAAAAGCAAGCCTATTCTGAAGCTTGCCTTGGCTTTGATGCAACAGTCTGTGGTTCCTAAAGTGCAGTTTTATTCTTATTAATAATAATAATTAAGGTTCCAGCCTAACAGGTACATTTTTATATTGGTATGCTGAAAATACCAATGTTTATATTTTTGAATATTAACACAATTTTATTAATATCATATAATGTTATTTCACTTTGTATCTGAAAAATGTTACACAAGCCTTACAAATAAATACAGTGCACCCCACACCCCCCTTTAGATTCACCTCTGCTTCTCGTAGGCGTCACCGGCTGGCAGTTACGTTCTTTCTTTAGCGAGTAACGACTCGTCGCAGTGTGTATGGGCAGACGTATGTTAAACTGTGACAGCTTCACTGTCACTTCTGCTGGTGTTATCAGTCTGTTTAAAAGCTGGGGTCTGCATGGGCTTAATGTTGTTGTGCTTTATATTCCTGAATACGATTCTATGGCAGGTCTATTTGTCGTCAGAGATGTGGGTGGACTGCTCACGTTTACATGGTGATGAATACGAGCGGGTCACAAACAAAGTATCAAGACAAAGAATTTTCAACAAGGATATGTTTGAAATAATCGAGTTACTTGAGTTATTCAGTTCATTGCAGCATTTGTTGAAGGCAGCACACATCAACGTAGCGACTCTGCTCTGCCTCAAACGTTTTATTGTAAATTTGTTTTGCTTGTTTTTCTGACAGAATTTTATTTTGAACATGCAAATTTAACTGAAATAACAAAGAGAAAAGAAAAGAACTTAAAAACATCAAGTTTTCATATATATTTCTGTCTGCAGAACGTGTGTGTTTGAAAAGGAGTAGGATGAAGTTTATACTTTTCCTGTTCCTACCCCCTTTTTCAAATGTAATTATTTACACATCAATACTCTGAATTCAACCTTGACTTGACCTCAGCAGCGATGGCGTGCTGTGAGACACCCTGCTTATGCAGTTCAGCAACCTGATCTCGTTCAAAAGAGGAAAACATTTTTGCCATCATAACATTATAACAGTGTGACTGCCTGACAGCGATCCATATGATCCATGTATTCTAATTTTTGCCTCATAACTTTTGCACTGTCCACTTCCTGCTGTGACAAAACAAATTTCCCACATGTGGGACTAATAAAGGTTATCTTATCTTATCTTATCTTATTTTTGCTTAGATTTGGCCTTTTAAAGGCATGTGGACCTAAACCTTTGATCAGCTGTAAAACAGCTTGTTTCAGTTTCAGTGCTGTTGTCAATAAATTGCATGCTCAAAATGTTGTTTTGTCTTACTCCCATTTCCTCTTGTTGCATGTTGAAGCTCTACTTGAAACCTTTTTAAGACCCAACCATGAAAAATATTGTAGGCGCCATCAAGTGGTCAGACTTTTGATTGGGAAAGCATAAAAAAAAACAAGAAACATTTAGTGATTTATGGATTTTTCTTGCTATATAATTCCATATATCTTGCTTCATAGATTTGATGTCTTCAGTATGTATCTACAACGTAGAGAGTAGTGAAAATAAAGAGAAACCATTCAATGAGGAGGTGTGTCCAAACCTTTCACTGGTACTGTATATGCATGCCTATGTGCCTGTTCAGAGGTTCTTGGAAAGGACATGTGAGGACTTATCTACATAGTTCAGCTGCTGTATTCCAACCTAACCCCAGCTGTGCATCATTGGGGACATAAATGAACTAGATATGCACATCCCATAGACTCCTAGTATATGGGATGTGCATATCCATAGTGCATTTCTGCTTCTTCAAAATACCAACTGGATTAATTTGTTTCCTTCTGGCCCCCACTGATCAATCCCATCACTTAGTGGAGGGGGTCGGCTGTAGTCTCGTCTCCCATGCTGCCTTGTAGGACATAGAAGCCTACACACCCACTGCCCTGTTTTACATCCACAACTGCACAGAACAACGATGGACAAAGGAGGCAGATGTTATCAGAAGAGACTATGGATGACCAGGGATGTCCGTTTATGAGAGACCGTAACACTGCCCTTATGTTTAGAAGAGAAGGAATTACATTAAATATAGACAGATAGATAATTATACATTATGTATTCTCTTCCTACATAAGTGCTTTCTAACATTCAAACTCCTTTGGATGCATCAGAGAGCAACTTGAGGTTAGTATCTTGCCCACTGACATTTGGCATGCAGACTGGAGCACACAGGGATCGAACCACCAACCTTCAAATTAGTAGGTGACCTGCTCTACCACCTGAGCTACCTGAGCTACAGCCACCCCTGTGCCAAATCCAACCTAAAGAAAGATATCAAGAAAGATATCAGAGGCAAAAGCAGAATATTGGAGGAAGACTGAGGGACATTTCAGAGAGAAAGTCCCAACAGCATCAAGATCTAAAAGTGAGCAGTGATATGCCAACTCTGGGCGTTCTGGCTATCAGTGGTTAGGTGCTATTTCAGGGTGGTTATGTTGCATCCTTGGACAGTCAAACACTGCCATGAGCTGGCACTGAGTCAATCACTTCTCATAGAACTGCAGGCACCTGGTCTACGATGGCATTCAGGTTGTACATACAACATCGAGGCTTTTGATCTTTTATTGCATAACTGTCATGTTAACTTCATCCCCATGTGAATGTGACTTTCTGCATTCACATTTGTTCCATGTCACGTTCAACTTATGTTAACCATACTTAATAGTCACAAATATTTGTATGTATATGACACACTTTTGATCAAGTGACTACTAATATGGAATTAAGACTGAAAAAGATGCGGAAGCCTGGCAGAAACGACCAGTTAAATGTAATGCTTCCAGCTTCCAGTCTGCTCTTTACCTGCCCTTCGTACAGACAGCAAACCTTTAAAATATAAAAGTTTAAACAAACTGGTTAAATGATACATGTTGCTGAAGGCTGATGGCAGCTGTCCTATTTTTACATGGAAACGATACTTTCAGTAAACAGAGGTGAACCATGGGGTGTAGCACGGTATATTAACGTCCCGGGGCTAGCGATATCTCCGGTGGGGGACCAAAATCTATCTCAGCCCCGCCCGTCATGCTATATGACAGCCGGACGGGCGATTTTGCGAGCCCGGTTGAATAGTGCATTCATTAAATTACATTCATATTTAAAAAATAAAAATAAAAGCTTTTTTCACAAGCCAATAAAAATGTGTATCGGCCAGTAAACTCTGAACCACCGACCTGCTGGTTGTTAGGTTGGACACTTAGTTATTATTAATATTAATTAATGTCTGCAGCATCATAAGGCCTGTTTTCAGCAATATAAAAACTTCTTATTAATGTCAGTTAGCCTTCAGAATGACAGTTATGGTAAATATTTTACGCGTATATATCTTATTTTATTTGACTTTCACTGTACTTTATTATTATTTATATCGATTATTTATATATTTTTGCATTTGTGAAAACGCATTATTTAAAAAAACAACAACAACAAAACCATATGACATGTAAATACAATCAAAGGGTTTAGTTTTTGTTTAGTGGTGTCTTTTTGACAGATTGCTCATTAATAAGGCAAAAGGATTTCTTATCTGATTACTCGATTAATCAATGGAATAATCAATCGATTATTAAATTTACTATATTTTACAAATTTTTCTACCACATTTATTTTCAAAAATAACCTGAAAACAGTATTAGATGCTCTGCTATAAGTGATGCAGGCAATACAGTGCACATTGTCTGTTAAAGTTCTCAGAAGTGAAAGAACAACAGATTTTAACATAGAAATGCAGGAAGTGCTGCTGCACAGGAAAAGGATGAAGGGGCCAAACTGCTGCATTTTACGGGGAGTCAGTGAACTTATCATACTGTGACTACAAACAAGATCAGAAACAAAAACTTACCTGTGGGGTGCCTTGTTCTTGACATTTCTGGAAGAGGATAGAGGTTATCAAGCTGCCAGAATGAACAGTTTCAGTTACACTTACAACACAGATGGCAAGAAACTGAGTCCCAGCACATAGCTCACTTATGAAGGCCATTAGTATGCATCACAAATGATTGAAATAAATGACCACCTAAAAACATTCAAAGAAAAGACTGGACAGAAACTGGCTGTTTGATCACATCTTTCTGTGGCAAACCCATCTATTCAGCTTACCTGTGCAACTTTGCTGTGTACGAGTGTGCCAATGGTGCCTGCACAAAGCCTCGGACCAAGTCCTTTGAAAAGACCAGCTCTTCCATCAATCTTAATGATGTGTTTTGCTGAAACATTTAGTCCAGAGCAGGACACAGTGTAAATAGTGGTAAAACTACAAAGGTAAATATCCACATACAATCGTTCAAAGCACAGTAATACTATTACCAACTCCATTTATAAAAATATCAAGAATCAAACTTGCCATAAGCAAACAGTCCAGGTAGCTGGTAGACTTGTCTTCCAAATAAATTCCTACCCAGGGTGGGACGGAGTGGCTCATGTCCTACCTGATAACACACACAACACCAAAAACAATGAGAGGGTACCATAGGAGGGGGCAAGCATTGACTTTATGTATCCTAGAGAAATACAGCAAAACACCAAAAACACCTGGAAACACTAAAAGCAAGTCGAGTTGCCCGAGGTTCACAGAATTTACAGAAAAATGTTAAATTTTTGTGATTTATATCGTTGTCAGAACGGTAAATATCTTAGACCGTGATATGAGATTATGGTCATAGCGCACAGCCCTGAGCTTGATATCTGCTCTGGTGCCTTTTACCAATACATACAGACTTGGATTATTTGCACAGAGCCAGGAAGGACTGTGTCCAGTACTGAATGGTGCTGTGGAGAGACAGACCATGGAGACAGACAGAACACATCACATGCTTTATAGCAAGAAGACAGACAGACAAATCTTTATTTTTTTACTGATGATGTTGACTTTTGATTCACTTATTTGGTTATTTTTCTTTTACAAAACTATGTTTCCTGAGATCACATAAGTTTGACAGGGCACCAGTGTGTGCGCTGTGCTGCATTCATATATTTAGCACACAGTTGATGATTAGCCGACTGCCACAAATATGGACACGGTATACACAAGGCAGACAACTGTTAGCATCTAGTAAAACTGTCGCTCCGTATGACTCATTCTGTCATTAAGATCAACATGCAGCTATTTCTGGTTTTAAGCAAACGTCCCCGGAGCTCTGCTGGTGCTCGTTATTTTCATGTTTTTCAGGAGCTAAAGGCATCGAGCTAGCAGTATTCGTAACTGAGAAGCAAACAGCATACATTTCTCCCGATGACAAACTTGTGAATATACACGGTGTGTTGAAGACATCAGTGTAAAACACTACGTTGGAGCTAATCAGCTGGCAGCTAACTGGCGGTGATCTCTAGCAGTTCAACAACTTAACGCCGCTGGCTTTCTTGGAAAATAAGCCATGTATGAACTGTGTACAGATTGTTTTTATTCAGTCTGCGCACAGAATATAAATGAAGCAGGGTAACATTGCAGTTAATTATTAACTTTCGATTAACACACGGATTCCGCCTATTGCACAGCAACGAGGAAGCAGAAGGTCACAGGGACAACAGACGGGACAACCATGTGGCTGATCCTATTACTGGGACAGTTCCTGCTATATTCTCAAATAAATAGTTATCAAGACTTATTAATGTCTCTGTGTGTGCTACAAACCTACTAATCTACTGGTAAACGAGGCAATACACTGTGAAAATGAATGACAATTTCCTCTTCTAGTAAGATACTAGCGAGAGTTACAGTATTTACAACGATAAGTACAGAGTGTCTGAATCAGGCCCGGGAAGGAAACGTAACTCTCCCGTCTTACCTGGATCAGGACTTTAATGTACATCAAAGGATGGGAGAGCACAGTAAGCCCTGATCCCAATAACACTTGACCACAAACATCCGCCATTTTTGGAGAGTCGATAGAGACCGGAAGTTCTCCTATTTCGTTTTGCTTCTGAGAGCAGATAACGTCCGTGGAAAAAAACACTGCCATCTAATGTTTATAAGAGGTATGACAACGATGTCCTTCGTTCTGAGACCATGTTCAAGTCTGAGGCAGCCCAGTGTTGCAGCCCAGGTCCGTTGCGTCTGCTATGAAAGTGAGAGTTAATACTTGTACAGCTGCAGTTATAATGGATTGGATTTATATAGCGCTTTTCTAGGCACCCAAAGCGCTTTACAATGCCACTATTCATTCACTCTCACATTCACTGGTGGAGGCAGCTACAGTTGTAGCCACAGCTGCCCTGGGGCAGACTGACAGAAGCGAGGCTGTCATATCGCGCCATCGGCCCCTCTGGCCAACACCAGTAGGCGGTAGGTGAAGCGTCTTGCCCAAGGACACAACGACCAGGACAGAGAGCCCAGGGATCGAACCGGCGACCTTCCGGTTACAGATGCGATTCCCAACCCCCTGAGCCACGGTCGCCCACGGTTATTGTGTGTGTGTGTGTGTGTATGTATATGTATATATATATATATTTTTTTTTTAATTTATTTATTTATATTTACCCTTTTTAATTTTTCATATTTATTTCCTATCTTATTCATAGCCTTTTTCGTACTGTGTATGACTGTGTACGTGACAAATAAAATTTGAATTTCTATAGACGTGTGTAAAACTGGCTGGTGACGATGAGAGAACGTGAAATTCATGTTTGTAGAGCAGTGGGAAGGCTCAAAAAAATACTGGGAAGCCCCCACTGGAGGTAGAAAAAAAGCACACCAAGCCCAGTGTGTTTTTACCCAGCTCTGTCCTAACTTTGCTATCAAAATAAAGGCCCTAAAAATACATACATAAATAATTTTGTAATGTGGAGCTGAAGGGAAATTGCTACACATTAATTCATTTTGCTGTCCCGGGTGCCTGGGACAGTAGAAAACAAAATCACGAGGGTACAGCATTAAACAACATACAAAATATACAAAGAATATAAGATATACATTTCAACCATGGAGATCTCTCATGAATGTACTCATCATATACTTTTCAACAGTATTAATAACAGTCTGTCCACTTATGGGTCATTAACGGGGTCTAGACTGCTCTTTATCACACTCACTTGTCAATAGCTGACTATGGACAGGGACATTTGGATATACATTTCTGCATTCACCATTTGTGCTAGAAAAAAGGAATTTCTTATACTCACTATAACACACTACCAGTCAAAAGTTTGGACACACCTTCTCATACAATGTTTTTACTACTTTCTACATTACAGGTACATACTGAAGACATCAAATATATGAAGTAAGATATATATAGAATGTAGCAAAGAAAACATTGATAAACAACTCTAAATATATCTTATATTCCTAACAGTAGCCCCCCTTTGCTTTGTTGACAGAACTGCAAACCCTCGGCGTTCTCTCGGTGAGCTTTATGATGTAGTCACCTGAAATGGCTTTCACTTCACAGGTGCAAAGCCCGATTTGACAACTGTTACAATTCATATTTATGGCAAGAACCAATCAGCTACGTAAAGAGAAATGACAGTCCATCATTACTTTAAGAACTGAAGGTCAGTCAGTCTGGAAATTGCTAAAACTTTGAATGTGTCCCCAAGTGCAGTAGCAAAAACCATCAAGCGCTATGACAAAAGTGCCTCACATGAGGACCGCCCCAGGAAAGAAAGACCAAGTGTCACCTCTGGTGCTGAGGATAAATTCATCCAAATCACCAGCACCTCTGGTTAAAGTCCAGATACAGTGGGGCAAAAAAGTATTTAGTCAGCCACCGATTGTGCAAGTTCCCCCACCTAAAATGATGACAGAGGTCAGTAATTTGCACCAGAGGTACACTTCAACTGTGAGAGACAGAATGTGGAAAAAAAAAAATCCATGAATCCACATGGTAGGATTTGTAAAGAATTTATTGGTAAATCAGGGTGGAAAATAAGTATTTGGTCACCTCAAACAAGGAAAATCTCTGACTCGGAGTCAATCATACAGTAAATGCAGTAGCAGACAGATCTTTGCATTAACTGTTCAGAGGAGACTGTGCGAATCAGACCTTTATTGACAAATAGCTGGTAAAAAACACTACTAAGGAAAACCAACAAGCAGAAGACGTGCACATTATTCATTTTAGGGAAATATTGCAATTGAAAATGCAAGTACTGTGGAGATAATCACAAAATAGAGCATGTTATATTACCCTTTCAGAAGTATGACTAAGAAAGAAGACAAAACCTAAATATAATTAAACTGAACTAGATTTAACTGATTTACTTAGAAATAACTCAAGAAGTAAAAGTTATCAGGCAAATTTTAATAACGTTAGGCAAGCACATTTATATGACAACATGTAATCCTTAAGTGACATTCTGGTTCAACCACAAATAATTACCACTGGTTTAGCTCAGTGGAGTGAGAAGGCAACAAGCTTCAGTCATATGGTGCACGGCTGAGAGCACCATATGACCCACGTCACTTTGCTGAAAAAGGCTGATAAAAAATAAAAACAGTGAGAAGAAGCACCTGGGTACAGTGGCACAACAGCACAAGCTTCAGCATGAGGGGTTATTGTTGGCATTGCTGTGATTCTTATACATGGTACACTCTTATGCAAACTGTTTTTGTGCCTTCTTGCAGTTTAATTCGAGGTTTATAAACTGTCTTGCTAGTGTTAACCTAGCTTTCGTATCCCTGATGCTCTGTGTGCATAATGCTCCCTTTCGAACCCTGTTGTTTAAAAAAATAAACCCTACAGCTTTAAAACCCTATAAAAGTCTCTCAGTGAAATTTACTGTTGCTGGTTTGAAATGGAAAAGTGACAAGAAGTGCATTTTCTGGAAGTTGCCGCCTTGTTGCCACTGTTAGGTGGTGTTGTGTTCTTCTTTAGAGAGAGAAGATGAATATGCTCAAATTATAAGTTTTCACAATTTATTATCAAACATTTTCAAATTAGTTTTAGATGGCACCATGGACCGCCACCTTTCAGAAACATGAGACAAAGGATGCCTCATGCAAGCAGTAAACACTTTTATTGTATGTGGTGAAATACAGAATCCCAAAGGGTTGACTCTGTTCATCTGGACGTAGCGTTTTAAGTGGGAGAAACATTTTGTCACTCATGCAAGTGACTTCTTCGGTCTCAGCTGACTGAACATGTACATGGAAGAAATGGAGGCTATGTGGGCTTCATGGCGACATCATGATGGGTGAAAATCAAATCTCAGGACGTACCGCAATTAACGGATCACATTAACTAGGAGGACCAACACATCAAATTCACCAGGGATGATATGAAAAGTTGCAGTTTGCCTTCTTAGACTGTGAGATTTTCCATTTAAATGTTAATGTATACCATAAACCTATACACATACAGATACATACATACATACAGTATTTAAGGTTTGAGTGTAAACATCCACTGGAGCACAAACTGGGTGTCATCAAGATGCTACAACATAGAGCGAACACCATCCCCATTACATCGAGAAGGCCCTGAGTAAATGTGGTTATCCCAACTGAGCTAAACCGGCGCCCTCTGTGGCATTTAAACTCCAAAACACCATGAGTGCCATGTTTTATACATCAGGGAAACCAAATAACCTCTGGCTAAGGGGATGGTGCAACACAGAAGAGCTAACTTGTCAGGCCAGGACTTTGAAAGCCTGTGGAGACGCTTTCAGTGATGAGGATGTAACATCCAGGACAGGGAGGAACACTGGTTTGAGTGGGGAGTCAAGGAGGCCAGTTATGTGAAAAGGGAAAGACCATCTCTGAATCGATGAGGGGGCCTAAGGGTTCATCTGTCACCATCTTACAATGCTGTGATTGCAGCCATTCCCCAACACTCTGTGAATGGGACTCATGGCCATTGATCAGTGGTCTTTGATCAATGGTTGTTGATCAGTGGTCATGACAATTTGCATATTAATGGTCAAGGAACTGACATCACACCTCATTGTTCCTTCAGTGTGCTGTTTATAAGTTTGGGGAAACCTGCAGTCAGCTGAGACTGAAGAAGGCAGAGTGACGAAACGTTTCTCCCACTGAAAAGTTACGTTCAGATGAACAGAATCAACCTATTGGGATTTACTTGGATTACTGAGCATTCATGAAGACATAAAATACACAATGTTAATGTGATTGGTCAGAAAGTTGGGTGAAAACCGCAGTTTCCCTTATTTGGTTTGAAATAAATCCATAACCCAGCTGAAAGCCTCTTGCTGCTCCTTGGTATCCTTCACAGGTGTGATGCTGGACCAAAAAGGTCTTTCTCCCTTAGACCTGTTTCACGGGTCCCAAAAAGTTGATAATATTCTCCCATGTCTCTAATAATAGTAGTTACTGGATGTTACAGGCCATTAGCCTTAGGTCAGTGGTCAACTGGAAATGATGACGCAATTGTTACAGAGGGAAAGAAAACAAAAAAACCTTTTAACCCATGGGAGGAAATCTCCTATGTCAATATCCTCCCTCCAGTTTCTTTGATCTCATCCTCACTTTCCAGGACCCCCACCATACTCCAACAATGGCATCTGAAGTTGTGTATTTAAGAATGAAAGTAGAGCACAAAATACCAAATACTGAACAAAAACTTCCCCTCAGGAGCATGTCTAAGAACTTCCTATTCTATATCACCATCAGTGATGTGCCATATGTGCCTTATCATGTTCCTCTTTTGCTTTTTAATGTAGGACCTTTATTGCGTCATTATTTAGGAGTTGTGCTCCTGGGATATGTGGAGACCAATCCTCCTTTTCCCCACATCTTCCAGACGTAATCCAATGTTTTTCTAATTTTCCCCTTTTCTCCTTAATAGTAATTGAGAAACTTTCTGGCAGAAACTTGGTCTTGTTAGGAGAGATGTCATCCATTTCTAGAAATCTGGTTAAATTTATTAATCCCTCCAAAACGGGACTATTCAAAGTTGAGACCAGGAAGCAGATGTTCAGTCTTACATGCCTCTCTGCAGCTTCT